TTTTTAAGTAGAATACTTGTGGAATGCAGTTGTGACTTTTCTAGCATATTTTTATGTATTTTCCAGGAATCTGTCATCAGAAATCATATCTTTCTTTTTCATTTTTTGGATGGTTCGTATTTGGCTGTTATAATTATTTGACAGCTCAGGTTTTTTGTCTCTCATGTAAACTAAGCACATAATGAGAAATATAACCTATAAATCAAGAGATATTTTTCCATATGTCTAGGATCATCTGCAATATTACAAACTGCTTTTACTTTTGTATACTTAAGTTTATTTTAGAGAGAATTAAGATTCAGAAAATTACTGACATTTAACCAATTATGACAAAAAATTGAATAAACTTTGTATTCTTTTCAAAATGATTATACATTTAAGAATGAAAACAATGAATTAGAAAAATAATAAAAAGCCATTTTACAATGAAAAGTATAGATGATATCAACTCTCAAAATCTAGATAGTGTGAATTCATATCAAAGTTTAGTCTGTAGTCTTACGGAAATACGTATTTTAACATATGTAAGTAAAAATGAAAAAAAATGTAAAAAAAAACCCATAATATGCTGAAATAAAAAAAATGTGAAAAAAAAAGCATATGTTAGTAAAAATGGATGCAGATTTTTAATCATCACCTATGAGTTTGAACAAGTTATAGTAATTAATAGTTCAACAATCATGCATCTGCAAACACAATTTATGTAATAGTATAGCAGGACTATAGTATAGGGATTTAGGGAATTTTTTGTATTATAAACACATGGAATCTAAAAGACCCTTGAGATGTTATTAAGAAATTCTTGCCCATTATAGTTCAAGAATAATCCTTACTATCTCTTCCATATATAATTTAGGGAGTTATAATATTAAAGAAATTGGGTATTTATTAGAATCTTAGCATTGGAAATGATCTTTGTGGATCATCTAAATCATAGGGAAATAATCTTAATTTCAGAAAATTTAACAAATGTTAGAAAAATGCTAACACTGAGCTGAAACTTTCCTTTTGAAGTACTCAGACCAACTGTGAATAGAAAAGGAAATAATCCTCTGACTGTATAATACAATGTGTTTTAAAACTATTTCTGAGGGCCACCTTAAATTACTTTCTGGAGCAATTTCATGTCACACACTTTGGGAAGCCTTACACTTGCAGTTCAGTAAGCCCAGGATCCCTTCTCTGCTGTCGTTAACAGACGACTAAGCCTCTGTTTCAATATTCTCATTTCTCAAGGAGTTCCGGACAGATCTTACAGACAAACTTACAGACAAACTTACAGTTCTCTTTACATTTAGGTGAAATCTTTCAGCCTACACATATTATATCCAATTTCATCACTGACCAGCCTAGTTGCACAAATTCCGGTCAAGATGGTGAAGTACCTTCATCTTTAGTGGTTTCTTTCGGTTTGAGTTTGCAATGCCAAGTCGAGAGAAGATTCTTGGTTATATTTTGAAAAAGGGGTTTATAATTTCACATTTTCTTCCCAGTAGCAGCAAAGATGCCACTGAGGTCTTTTATTCAGACTCCTGACCATATTCTATGACATATATAATACATTTACTTTTCATCATTTCTCACTGTGTTCACCAGTGGTGAAGGATGTGAAATTTTGTATTAGTCCATGGCACACATTTTTATTCTGGTTGTCTCAGTTACTCACGCATTTTCATGCTGTAATGTCCTTAGACAACAATCGTTATAAAATATTAATGACATGTTTTCAGAACAACTGCATATTATTCATTTGTTTCAGTACTCCAGAGCACTCACTAAGAAATGCAACCAAGGCAGGTATCCAATTTGAATGTCAACGAGTCTGGTGTCTCTGTAATTGGCCTAATTATAGAAGAAAGGATTTATAATGCAGAATATATATTCTTATAAATACCCAAAGGTTATTAGCTCCATTCCCTGAATAATTAGTTATTGCCAAGCCTTTACAACCTTAGCAAATTTAAGAAAGAATAATGTTCTAATAAACAAGTTGTTCTCAAGTTATTAGCTGATATCTTAGGGACTGTTGCTATTGTGCATCATGCCTCACCATTTACAACTGTAATAAAATTTAAATAATATGAATTTGCAATAAGCTCAAGACCTGCTCTGCTTAGAAATAGGAGTAACCAGAAACAAGGTAAATGTCAATGAAGATACGGATGTTGTTTGCGTGTTACTCAAATGTTTATGAATATCCAACAAATGTATACTGAACTTGAACTAATGTCCATAAGCTAGTAAAAACTCACTTATCAGATTTATTAGGAAAAACAGAAAAATAAAAAATAAATTTTATAATTGGAAAGGGCATTTATTTATTATTCTTGGCAGGCTGTCAATGCTCAAAATGTAGTTTGTGGACCCCTTGGGGATGCAGAGATAGATTCAGATGGTCCATGAGGTCAAACTGTTTTCATCATAATTCCAAGATTCCATTTTTCCTTTTTCACCGTGTTGTCATTTTCACTGATGGCGCAAAAGCTATGGTGGGAAAACTGCTGTTGCCCTAGCACAGATTAAGGCGTTGACGCCAAACTGTACTAGTGCTCAAGGTATTCGTAGTGGCCATATACTCCAGAGTAAAAAAAACACAAAAAACAAAATAAAACAAAACCAGTTTTGCTTAATATTGTAATTGTTGAAGCAGTTAAATGTTATTGATTTTTATTAATTCTCCACTCTTGAATGCATACCCTTGAATAATATTGGGATGAACCAGGAAATAGACATAAACTAATTCTGCTGTGTATCAAAGTAGGATGATCATCTCTATTTCTTGGTGGTATCATTGCTTGAGTCTCACACTGGACACTGTCTTTACCTGAAAGTTATGACTGACAAATTACAGTTGCTCAAGTGGTTATAAGGCAGATATTTTCCTGAAAGTCAACCAAATGAGTCTGTCACTTTTAAGATAAAAAACTGACAACATATGTTACATTGTCAGTGATAAAATCTTGAGTGTTCAAGCAAAAATTAGAATTTTGGGAAACTTATATTCTCCACTGTGAGCTTGAAAGCTTCCCAACGTTTAAGACTTCTCTTCTTAGATCGGTGGTAATATTAACAAGTGTGAATTGTTCGATATTGTATAATGAAATACATCAGTATTTGGAAGATTGGCATAACTCAGGGAACCAATTTTTTTTTCCAAATGACCACTGCATGATGTTACAAAATCATGCATATATTAAGAAAACCTATAAGTAAAACAGTTTACCATAAGAGAATATGAAAAGTTTATTGATAGGTTTCAGGGTCTATGTTGCAATAAACATATAAGAAACCACCACTTGTTGAGTTTTTGTGCACTACCCAAGAAGAATATCCACAATCGTCAGAAAGGACAATAAAATTTCCCACCT